CTAATCAAAAGTGACTTTCATTTAGATTTCACCTTTGCAATCCTTAAAATGTCACACTTCTAAGATGTCAGCAAGGGAACACTTCCATACAACTCTTGTCTAGCAAGTGTTTGTGGTTTGAGGTTTTTTTCCCTCCCCTTGGAAGTTACTGAATAAACTGTTTATTTTGAAACATATATTAGCATACTTCTGCAATTCAAAGATATTGTTAAATAACACGTTCAAGATTGGAGCAAGACACATGATGTATTTAGAGAGATCTCTTTGTAATTACTGGGCTGAAATTCAGAAGTACCAAAGTTAAAAATACATGAAAGGAAACACTACTTATTGCAATTTTGAGCACCAGGGAGTTCAGGTTTTTTTCTTCCGTATTTTCCCAAAGTGTTAAATTCCTTTGTGGAATGACTTTGGTATCTCTAGGAAGGACACTGCCCCCTGCAAAAGCATCTCCTAAGAGCTTTATTAATTGCAAGAAGACTGCATTTACAAAAAATGGGCAATAAATATCTTGTATAATACATGTATATCAGCTCAAGTGGATTTGGATAGCTAGAAAAGGCTGTTCAGAATATTGATAGGCAAAAAGAATTTAGTATTCTCTGAGCACCTTTCTTTGAAATACTTGATTAACCTAGGAAGACACAAATAAATTCAATCAGACAAAGCCTGCAGAACCTATTCAGCATAAGGCTACCATTTGTGCCATTAAGAAGACTAATTGCTATCGATCAATTTGTTTCACTAGCAGTGGAGATGAAAAACCTGGAGCAAAGTAAGGGCTTGCCATTCAGAGTGGTTCATTGGTACATGCTGATACTGTAAATCACTTTGCAGTTCCGAAAGGATGAATCACTTTAACAAAAAAATATGCAAAAAGAAATCTTGTGGGTATTTGCCCTTAGACATTCACAATTAGGAAAAGTGCCTTTGAATGCAAAAGCAGTATTTGAAGCTTAATTCAAAAAAGGCATTTTGATTTCATTGATGCAGGTGAGCATATTAAATATAGCCCCCCAGCTGCTGCTAAGGATCTGTGATTGTAGCTCACACCCAGATGGTAAATGCCGCTTGAAGACTCAGACATGGAAATGTGAAGGACTTCAGTCTATCTTCCTACACCATCCTCTGCCACAACTGGCAGAGGTCTGGCTCAAACCATCCCTGCTGCCACCCTGCATCCTGCCAGACCTCCCAAGACTGACAGGGCTCTACTTTGGTCCTTCTCTTGAACGTGGTTGTAAGGAATTCTCTTTTTAAAACAGGCATTATCCTGCTTAATCTTTCCTGATTTCATTACAACTGACATTGTAACAACAGCATCCAGTGGCAAACAAACTCGTGCATGGGATAGATGCACCGCATAAAACAGATTTATATCTTCCCCTGATATTATAACACTAACAAGTTTAGTACTCAAGAGTTGCAGGCTTCCTAGTGGCATCTTTATGAGGCCCAACTGACTCTCCAACAAAATTTATACCTGCTCAAACATGTTCCCTGAACCACAATCACAGACACAATAAATTTAAAGGCTCCTTTATATGACAGTAGACACTTTTCAACGTTTCCTTTACATGGCACAAGGGGGAAAGCACTCCTCTCTTATTCAGCAAAGATCCACAGGGCATTCTGGTTGCTCATTTTGGAACTCACACATATTTTGCAGTTTAGAAAATAAAAGCATTATGGAGAAGAAAACCAAGCTCAATTTATTGACTTAATTATCTCTTAGCCAGAAGCACAGCCATGTATTTTGATCATTTCAGCTGTGGCCTGCCCTCCATCCATGCTGTCAGCAGACTTAAAGTGATAGCTTTGAAGTGGCAGCCTGAACACCATAACAGCAGCAATGGGGAGGACTAGAAAAAGGCTTTGAAAGCTGGCAGATTCACATGACATCAATAAGACCTCGACGACTTCTATTCATTCAAAACCCAGCAGTGAAGCTAATATGCAATACTGTCAATACTGAGCGATGTTCTATGGTAAAGTCCAAATTGCTCCAACAGATTTGCAAGCAAGGGTGAATGTAGTATACTGCAGACATTTTCACCCTGATCTTTAAAGTACTGACCTCCATTTGAACAAATAACGCGAGAGATCTGAAGAACTGCATAAAACCTGACCTGCTAATGTATTTTCACCTGAGACAGCTTCAGAAGAGGAATAGATCACGTTATTGCTAAAGTTTAAGTTGGAGGAAGGTTTTACCTGTAAACATAGCTGTTCAAAAGATAAATATTTAAACACAGACTTCATGTCAGAGTCTATAAAACATAATATTCACCACTTGGTTGTAAGCCAATGGGAAATTTTAACAGCGGATAGACTACTTCTTTTCACAGTCATTTAAAGCAAATTAACAATGACAGTAATGTAATTTCCTTGGCACGACTCTTCTTCATTTCTTTTCAGCTGCCTCCTGCTAGAATCTTCAGAGAAGTTTAAACTGATTTCAAGAAATCCTTTGAAAAACATGCACTTTACTGTTATATATCTTTCAGGTGTTCACAGAAGCGCAGAAGAAAGAACATTTGCATTTCCACTTAAATGCTCTGTTTATACAGAGCTGTAGATGGGAAATGACAACGTTTATTTTCCAAGGCCATAAATGTTTACATTCACTAAACTGAAAAGTTAAAATTTTAGATTGTGACCTATTTCTGGTAACTTGTGCAAGAAGATTCCTACTTAGGGTTTTTGTAAAGAAGTAAATTACTGGAGAAACAGTCTGAAACAAAGTTTAATTAGAGGGTACTGCAAGTTCAGCATCAGCGTAGTTTGAAATAGACTACTTAAACCCATTTTTAGGGAATTGTTTCGTGCTGCTGTATCGTTACAGTACCCATATTAAAATCAGCCTTCACCATGGCAGGGGGGTTGCAACTAATCTTAAGGTCCTTTCCAGCCTAACTATCCTATGATACTATAAGAAGGAACTACTGATTACAACAGAACCCTTTCCAGAGATCCACTCATTCAGTCCAATAGCGATACCATGCTGTAGGTAACTTCTGCAACTATAGATAATTGCCTAAAATCATTGCTTTGTATGTGGCAAACTAAAAAAAACTCTAGAACTGAGGATTCTCACCCACTGAAGCCAACAGGATTATTTTCTTTAGATTCAGCTGGATTGTGAGGGTCTCTTTTGTCCTCTAAAGCCTGATAAAACCACCTCTGAATTCAACTGTTATCTCTGACTTCACTTCAGTAGTCCTTGGAAGATATACCTAAGGAATACTTGATTCAGAGGTATAAATCATATATGTCATAGCTGTAGCAGTGCTACAGTTTTCAGAGTCCACTGTACTTTAATCAGGATTTATGCTGCTAGGAAAAGACCTCAAAAGAATTTGGTCTTCGGGCTCCCCTCCAGCTCCTGCTTTCTGCCACTGCAGATCCCAGTCAACAGCTTGTCCATTTCTACAATTCCACCTACAAAGTCACTTGCCTCCCTCACTGAAACATCTTTTCCAGCAGCATCACCAGAGTTATTTAATGTAGAGCTCTGGCTGTTTAAGATTGAGGGGTTCTGGAAGAATCCGGTATTTTCACCTGCTCCTGTCCCAGACATTCATGCTGCAAACCTCTGCTTATTCAGGGAGCCTTACGGTCCCACAATGCCTAACTGCATCCTTAATTTCCCAAACTCTATTCATAGCAATCCTAATTAATACAGGTCACATCACCTGTGTTAAAGTAAGATGCAATGAAATTCAATCTCTTGACAGCAAGCTGACTTTAAGGGCTGACTGCCAAGAAATCTAATTACTATAAGAGAGCATTTGCAGAAATTACAGGAAAACCAACTCGCTGGTAGTACCTGTGCTAGTCCATTGGAGGGAAATCAAAGCAAGAGAGTTTAGGTGAAGCCATTAAATAGAATGAAAACAATATGGATAGGTTTAGCAATGCTTTTGCCTTAAATAATCAAGTCTATTACTACATTCTCAGTGGGCTTGTCTGTTTTACCAACATCTTCACTTTTCATGCCAAGGTTATACTTGATGCACCAACAAGAAAGATGACATATTTTGATCTCTACTTTAGAGAAGAGCTTAGGAAAAACTACCGTGTGAAAATATAGCAAACTGCTGGCATAAGTACTTACATGAGGGCAGCCTCAGAGCTGCACTGCAAAAATCAAAGTGTTGAGTGGAGCTACTTCATTTCTTACGTTATTACTGCCGAGTATAGGACAAAACTTGCTTCAAGTGCAGTCTGTTCCAACAATTCAATTTGATTTTCTAAGGGGTTTTCTGGTTTGCTTTTTAATTTCTCCTTCAGGCAACATCTGGAAGTAGTAATAAGCAGCTGATGTTGCTTTTCAGAACTCAGATCCAAGGCTAATTCGTGTTCTTGGGAGGTCCTGCCAGTATTTGGACTCAACAGCTCTCCTTTTGCAAGTATCCTGTTCCAGTTAAAAAGGTCTGTAACTCACTGAAACAACATGGAGCAGGAAAAGCAGTTCATGGCATTTCTGGATACATTTGCCTAAAGGTAAGCTGCTCTCACAGGCATTTTTATCCCATATTTTATTACTGAGATGTGGTACCGTGATGATACAAATGCAGCTATTGAAAAACTTTTCCCTCTGAATTGTATAAATAAATAATTTTCTATAAAACCCTTCTAAAATATTTAATTATCATAATTACCACAAAATACATTGAGCACTCAGTAATTAATAGTTCCAAATGCCCATATTTTCCTACATGCAAATAAGCACCTATGCCAAAAAAGTGCTAGCAGAGGGTACTCTATTAAAGCAAGACATTAGGGGAGTTTCAGATTTGTTTTTCCCTTCTTCTCTCAGCAGTCCTCATTAATATAGTAAAACTCTCATTATAAAATCATTAGTGTAAATGCAAATAAAGTTTTACATTGTTAATGTCCCCACCAGGTCCTTAATCACTTCAAAAGTCATGCTGCATTAAATGTAACATTGATTACACATGATAAAAGGGAATGACATACAAGATGTTGCCTTACACTGAACTATTAAGAGAACAGGATGGTCTGTGTGTTTTAGGCTATTTTCTGTATTGTTCTTACACTGGAATCTAAAAAGCCCTAACTGAAAAGATAAGCAAAACTCCAGACTTCAGTTATCTGAGGAGCTGGGCACCTCCTGGACCCCTCTACTGTCTTTTGCTTGTTGTCCTGATCAAGCTCAACCCTTCCTCTTTACCCTCCACTCAGGAATTTAGATGAAACAGTGCAGCATAAAGCTATTAAATCCCTTTCCATGATAGTATTTTTCCTGCAATCACGCTGCGTGTTCACATTTATCTAGGAAGCATTGGTGAGGTTGGACAAAGCCTTGGATGACATGGTTTAGTGTGAGGTGTCCCTGCCCACGGCAAGGGGGTTGGAACTAGATGATCTTAAGGTCCTTTCCAGCCCTAACTATTCTATGATTCTATGATATTTGCAGCAGTCACCATGAGACATCAAGATAGGACTGTGCTAACCAAGCACCAAATTACAGGAAACAGGATCTTCACAGCATAGACAAATATCTCTGATTTAAGGCAATAGAGAGACAATGCTGCAGACTATTTTCAGCTTTGAGACATATATATTGTTACTGAGGAAACACAGGTGCTTACACATTGAACTGTTATGCTGCATTACTCACAGAAAGAATTGCTATATAAGTTGTAGATGTGTGAACAAAGTATGAAGGGAGCATAGAAAACATCTTGATCTGGAATCTCTTTTTCCCTGGTTTTCTACCTGCCCAAAGTTATTTTTGTGCTTCCAGAAGAAAATCATTAGGACTCTTCTAATTAATTAGTCCAAGAAGGAAGGGGGCTGATTGCAGTAATAATCACAAACAGATCAGGTAGACAATTAAATGTGAAGCCTGGTACTAGGGAATAGATGAAAATAGCTCTTCCAGCATTGAAAGGAAGAGTGTATCGTAATGACAGAATCTGGTAACTCCTAGAACTCCTGCTATTAAAATGTTCTTAGAATAATGGACATTTTCATAATACAAAAATCAAAGCAACACAAAAAAAAAAAGGGGGTGGGGGTGGGGTGGAGGGAGGGGAAGGGAATTTGAGTAAACCAGCATCAAAAGTGGAAGCCAAAGTTCCTGATGGTCAACATCTGTTAAACCCAGCAACTAAGTGCCCATCTCAAATTAGCACTGGTCCAGTCATAGAATGGCAACCTACAGCCACTGTTACTCTGTTAGCAATCCAAGTGACAAGTGGGTCCAACCCTGGTGATGTTTCATGTGACCAAGAATTACATGCTACTGGATGGCAGCTCAAAGTTAAACAAGCAAATCAATTCCCTTAGGAGACTGCTTGTAAATAATTTTAAAGAGTCAACACTATTGAAGTTGCAAGTCAAGCATTTGAACACTAGGAAATGCCAAAACTAAGGTTGTCCATGCAGCTCTAATTGAGCCTCTCAGAGACCTTCTTTCAACCATGCCCTGTATGCATGATGATACACTCTTTAATTACAGAAAGCAACATCCAAATGAGTTCTGCCAAGAGACACGCCAGTCTTCTGAAGTGAGATCAAGGAAACAATCTCCTTTTCATCTCAATGTATTGTGTGATGCAGTCATTGTTAGCATATTGTAGCTGCTATTTCCAAAGGGGCTTCCAAGATCTACAGCTCAGAGAAGCACTGAATACCTGAGGCTTTCAAGTTGGTTAAGGAACAACAGTGAATGCTCTCAACATCTGGTAAGTGGGGGGAGAAAAAACCTCCAACTAAAATGGACAGACTGCACACCAAGATAAATATCTCCTTTCAACTTCAGAATTTCCTGAGATGTTTCCCTTCTGCTCAGATCAGTAACCTCCAAAACCTTTGGCAGGACAGTAAGTAGTACAATGGCTGTGCACAGCAATATACCTACCTTTTATACAAAATGCTGTATTAACAGGCTTGGTCTGGTGATCAGGAACAGCTCAGGAAACAGAGATTTATCTGTGTGCTACTGGACTCTGTGCTTGCCTTGCACAGGTTATTTAGGGTTTATCTGTATCATGCAAAACAGCACTTAAGAGACATCTGAGCTAGCTGGAAATGAGCTATCACCAGAAGGGAAGGTAATACAGCAGCATCAGCTTTACCCAAACTCATTAGTTTGGGTGTATTGCCATGCTAATGGAGCTATATGGCATCTGGGACTTATGAAATGAGGAAGGCAGCTCGATCAGAGCCAGCTCAGGTATCTGTACACCACAGTGGATCGTGTAGTTAAACATATGTTAAAAGTGCAGCTACACTCTCAGAGTAAGCTGATGGAGGTACTAAGCTTCTGCTTTGTGGAGCAGCCCTTTCCTCTCGCCTTCCTCTGCCTGCATGCTCCTCAGCCCTTCCCTGCCTCAGAACCAGCTGCTGCACAGAGGTCATGATGCTGACCCCTTGGAGGCCAGGACTAGCTCTTGGAGCAGCAGCACTGATGGATGGAGCTGGCTGTTTATTGCAACTGGGGTTTTGCAAAAGGGGGGCAAAGGCATTTCACTGCCCCTCAGAGAAATAGCAGGCAGTGGGAAGAGGGAGTCAGGAGTAATCTACTGGGGGGGGGGGGAGGGGGGGATGGACATGACAGGACACTCAAAAGGAAGAAATGCACATGAAGGGAAAGGAGGAAAAGCATTCAGTGGTTCAAACAGCCTTCCTGTACCTCCACCTTGAGCAGGGAAAGGGAGTGTTTAGCGCATTATCTGTTCAATCCGCTGTACGAATAGCTTTAGGGGTGAACCAGATTTGTTACTGTGGAGGTGGCTGGGAAAATGCAAAGATAGAAGCAAGAGATGATTAAGCAGAGACATTAAGCAGAGAGATTGCCTACTGGGTAGAGTGATTGCAGGAAGGCTACCTGTATGTTCTGAGAATGAGCACCACTTAATTGTTGAAAGATTAATACTTAAGCTTCATCCCCAGGTGGCATTTCCTAAGGCTGTGGCTAATGCTTATGCATTTTTTTCTTCCCTTCCTATGAGGAGTGACACAGATTCAATTCAAGATTGAAGTTCAGAGTGAAGTAGGGCTCAAAAGGTATTAGAGCAGCCAGGGCAGCTGGGAAGTCTCAAATGTGGAAATCAGACCCAGAGGAAAAGGATGAGGTTTCTGTTGTTTCTGTGTCTTGAATGCTTGGCATTACCCAGAGCTTCACCAATAGCTTTTAGAAAGTTTTCACTTCCAGACTTTTCCAAAACCTCTTAAAAACCAGCTTCTGCACAGTGCAACATATCTACCTCCCAGAGTTAGACCTTACCTAAATCAAGCTTGTCCAGGCAGCCTGGTTTGCACCAATTACACTGTCGAGTCACAGCCTTTGTCATAAAATAAAAAGCTCACTGCTTTTTCAATAAAGCAGTTTGAAGTAAAGTGGGATTAACACACGAGACACTGCCTTCCTATAAACTCTCACTGCCTCATCCTTTTTCTTTCAAGGCTGTTTGCATGGGAATAAAGGATATATTTATATTGCCAACCTTGTTAAACAACTTAATACTTGGCTAATATTCGAGGAATGATCTGGAAAGAGAAAAAGGCAGAGCAGCAAGGCCCACTTCTGGCAATTTCCAAGACATCAATTTTCAAGTTTTAGCAAAAACCTGATAGCAACCATGAAAAACTGTAGCCTGTAATGAAGGGGAGTGCTCCTCTTAACGCAGTTTTATGGGTGTTTTTTTGCAGCATGTATACCGGCAGATGCACATACTCACTTAAGGCTTGATTACTTGAGTGAGAACAGCTAAAGGACAACATTCAATTCAACAGCCTGTCCAGCACCCTGGTGCTGTAATAATGCTTGGGGAGTAGTAAGTGTTACATGAGGAACTGAACTTAATGCATTCTTATTGACCAGTGCCACTCCTCGGAGTGTTCCCAAATCAAAGGGGAAGGGTAGGTGCTTACATACGGTCCAAGGCTTGTCTGAACTACTTTTCTGAGAAAAGAGAAGCTACTAGATACAACCTCTTAACAGCAAATGTATACCCAAGCCTGAGCCTCTAAATCCCTCACTATGTATTTAACAAACTGACCGTGATGCTATTTGTGGGGAGAGTGCTCCCAGCCAGAATCACCAAACAGCTGCTTCAGGAGGTCTCATCAGCCTCACCCTTAACACTCAGGATCAGCACTAGATGAGAGGCTCACAATTTAACCTGATGGAAATGACAATAGGCAATGCTGACCCATACTCCTCATTACATCGCTTGTACCTGAATGTTTAATTGTCAACTGCTGTTCTCATTAGCACTGTCATGCCAGGAGCAGAACACCGCAACAGAATGGGGAGCAGACCCTGTGTATTTGAGTGGAAAAATACCCTTTCCTTGTCACACTCACCTAGGCAGCAGAAAAGCAGAAGCCATTTCAGGGCCACACCTGAGCTGCCAGAAGAAGAACAAGGAACATGATCTTCTCAACCTCTTCTGGGGGATGTGGTGGCTATTGTACTGTGCATCTAAACTCCAGAGCAAAGGGGGTGTCCCATGGGTCAGAGAGAGCAAGCTCACCCCATGGTGAGTGGCTAACGGAGTCCCAGCAGCACCTGGACTTCTGTAATAAAGATGCAACAGGAATCACCACTAAATCTACTGCTCTTTTACAACACTCTCACATCTACCCTGCTTTCTCAGGGCAGTTGTTTACCCCAACATGTTGCTGGATCTGAGCACCTAATCTGAGGCTGCTTTTGGAATGAGTCTCAAATGGTGTCAACTTGTTATTTCAGAGAAAACCTACTTCAGAGAGGAAGGTAGGCTGATCCTTTCAACACCCCAAGTTACTCTTAGAAATGACTCACAGAAAGAGCTGTATGCATTATTAACTGGATCTCAACCCAGATTAGCATCTAGTGTGAGCTCTAGTGGAGCCATGCATCAAATAAGAGTTATATCACGTAATCCAGCTAAGCCATATATGAAAAAGATCAAATATTAGAACATATTAAATATACATGTATGGCTTTCAAATATACAACAGAAACATTGACCCAATTCATCAGTGCTGCCTCAGTCTCCTACACGAAAAGGCTCTAAAGCCTTAAAAAGATACCCATTAGGAGAGGCAAGGAAGGATAAGGAAATACAGGTATCACATGGAGGGTCTCTGTGAACTGCATTTATTTGACATATCTAACAAAGAATTATTAAGCCAGACTTAAGGATGTATAAAAATATAG